AGCAGGCTGTTGGGGGACTGCCAGGGCTTAACCCCATTAGATTTTACCAAAGCATTAGGGTAGAGAAACATGTCCCAGGGATTGTGGATGTTGCTGACTCCCCGGTTAGGGCAGTGCTGACCTAGGGGCCTCGGAAGTAAAGGAACCAATGTGCTGTCCTCTTGTCCCTGATGGTTCTCTTTTGTTGAAGAGTGGTGGTGTGCTCTGAAACCCCACCCTCTTTCTGGCTTCAATCTTTTTTCACTTCTCCTGCCGCCTTGTTTTATTTTTATTATTTTTAGTTTGGTTTTTTAGGCAAAGAGTCTCCACTCTGTTGGCCAGCTAGAGTGCCAATTGTTGTCCAACCTATTTCCACAGCCAAACCCTCAAACTTCCCTGGAATCAAAAAAGGCCATTCCTTTCCTGCCTTTCAGCTCCCAGTAAAGCTGGGACTACCAGGGCATGGTACTCACCCATGCCGGTAACCTTCTTTTTTTCTTTTCTATTTGGTAAGGGGAACCAGGTCTGGTTTGGCTTCCAAAAAGCTGCTCTCACTTCAAGGCTGGTTCTTTGAACCTGAGCTAAATGAATTTCCACCCGCTTTGGCCTTCAAATGGCTTAGGATTTACAGGGCATGGAAGGCCCACCACGGGGCCCCGGGCCTCTTCCCCACTTGTTCTTTGGAGCTTCGTTTGGAAGTCTCTTGCTGGACTGCTGCTTTGTCAAAGGGGAGGGGAAAAAGGATTTCTTGGCTTGACTTTCCCTTACTCCTCCCACTCTTCCAAGTGGGCTTCGGGGCATGTGCAGGGGGATTCCACCCCTAACTCAGGAAAAAAGTAGTGTTTAAGATTAAAAGACAGGTTCCCCTCAGGCGGTGATACTTCTCTGGGTCCTCATGTGAGGTTGGGCAGGTTTGGCAGTGTAAAAACCAACATGTTGGAAAAGGTTCCCTTCCTGTACTGTGGCTCTTTTCCCAGTCCAAGAAGGATTTTAGATCCTGGCGATGTCAAAAAGCCTGGTTGGTTTCAATCTTTATTTTAGCTGAGTGTGGGCTGGTAGTGAAATGAAAGGATGGCTGGATTAGAAAGTGGGAATTTGGTTGAGTTTTGGGGGAGGCGGCACAGTAGCTCAGAAACCGAAAAAACCGAGTGCTGGTCTTTACTATTTTCTTTCGGGAACTGGGGTGCACCAAATTCTCTTCAAGGCTTTTGTTTTTCAGTTGTAAGATGGGGTTAAACCTTTCTTTGTTAGGTTGTTGGTGGGATTAAATTTGGTAAATACATTTTAATATCTGGCACATAGTAGGTAATCAATGCGTGGTGTCAAAAAATTCTGGAATGTTAGAAAAGAATTTGATCTTTTATTGTATGACAAGTGTGCATTAGTCAGTCTCTTGTGTTGTAAAATGCCAATAATTAAATAAAAAACTTTATTTGCAAACATCCTTGGGCTGCTTGTGGAAGAACCATGGGGACAGGAAACCCAAACCAGGCCAGGCGGGAGGGGAGGGAGTTTGGCCAACCCTTTGCAGGGGAAAGGAAGGGAAAGGAAGGGCTGGGCAAGTTGAGGGAGCGGAGAGGCCACCATAGCTCTGGGCCTGACTGAGGGTTGCCTTTATGGGTGAGAAGTAAAATAAATGGTAGGAGGAGAGGGAAAGACCCCCTTTATGAAGAAAAAAAATTGTGTAAGAAAAAATGTTACCACCTAAGGGTTGGGAGCATGCTGGAAATATGGAAAAATGAGAAGGGAAATGAATAAAAAAGCTTTATACTGTGTGAGTACCCCACTTTCTAGGCTCGGCCAAGTGGTTTGAAAGATTTCTTTTTTTTTAGCCAGCATTTACCAAGACCATTTTAGTATTTTTTTTTTTTTGTGCGACAGGGTCTCACTTTGTTGCCCAGGCTAGAGTGAGTGCCGTGGCGTCAGCCTAGCTCACAGCAACCTCAAACTCCTGGGCTCAAGTGATCCTCCTGCCTTAGCCTCCCAAGTAGCTGGGACTACAGACATGCGCCACCATGCCCGGAATTTTTTCTATATATATTAGTTGGCCAATTAATTTCTTTCTATTTATAGTAGAGACAGGGTCTCGTTCTTGCTCAGGCTGGTTTTGAACTCCTGACCTCAAGCAATCCGCCGCCCTCCTAGGTGTCCCAGAGTGCCAGGATTACAGGCATGAGCCACCGCGGCCTGCCCACTTTGTTTTTTTTTTTTTTTTTTTTTGCAATTACAGAGTGGTATTCAGTCAACAGAACAATTATTTCATATAAGCTGTATCAGAGACAACTGAATATGAAAAAACTACCCTCCCCATATAGAACTAATTTGTGCTTTGCACCCACAAGAACCTGCTTTAAATCTTCATGCCAATTACAACTCCCATACTGCCCCAGGCAAGGTTAGTGGCTATTGGAAATACCACCACAGCAGGGCTACCTAAAGACACATTTGGTAGTGTGTTAACTGTACAAAAAAGACACTATGCAGTTTAAAGACAAATCTTACACAGCCTTACACTTTAATTATTATTATTATTTTTGAGACAGGGTCTCGCTTTGTTGCCCAGGCTAGAGTGAGTGCCGTGGCGTCAGCCTAGCTCACAGCAACCTCACACTCCTGGGCTCAAGCAATCCTCCTGCCTCAGCCTCCCGAGTAGCTGGGACTACAGGCATGTGCCACCATGCCCGGCTAATTTTTTCTACATATATTAGTTGCTCAATTAATTTCTATGTTTTGGGGTTTTTTTTGTTTTTTTTTTTTGAGACAGAGTCTCACTTTTGTTGCCCAGGTTAGAGTGAGTGGATGGCGTCAGCCTAGCTCACAGCAACCTCAAACTCCTGGGCTCAAGCAATCCTCCTGCCTCAGCCTCCCGAGTAGCTGGGACTACAGGCATGCGCCACCATGCCCGGCTAATTTTTTTCTATATATATATTAGTTGGCCAATTAATTTGTTTCTATTTATAGTAGAGACAGGGTCTCGCTCTTACTCAGGGTGGTTTCGAACTCCTTACCTTGAGCAATCCACAAGCCTTACACTTTAATTTTTCCTCAAAAAGGAGTGAATTGTGTACAAGGGGGTTAAATGCTTTATAGATAAGAAAAAAACTTGCATTAGAACCAACTTATTTATCACATCATCATCTTCTTCTTCCTCTTCCTTCTCTATCTATCTCCTCTTCTTTTTCTTCCTTTTTTCAGCCTTGATGACTCTCTTTTTTACTGCATCAGGCTTTCCTTTAGCTTGATATGCAGCTAGATCTTTGTCACTTGCAGCAGTGTTACTCCACATTGTCCCCAGTTTCTTTGCAACGTCACCAATGGATAAGCTATGATATTCTCCTTTGATTTTGGAGTGATACTCAGAATAGAACAAGAAAAATGCCAAAGGAGGCCTAGGGTGCATTGGGATCCTTGAACTTCTTGTTTCCCCTTTAGGAGGGATATAGCTTCTTATTTCTTTCATAATGGGCCTTGTCCACCTTTGTCATGTCTTCAAATTTTCCTTTCTTTTTAGCAGACATGGGCTTCCAAGTCTCTGAGCACTTCTTAGAAAACCGAGAAGTTGGCTGAAGCATCAGGGTACTTCTTGTGCTCCTTGAGACAAGTGTGCACAGAGAACACATATGACATTTTGCCTCTTGGCTTCTTAGGATCTCCTTTGCCCACATTTATTTTTCCTTGTCGAGGCATAGAATCGCCCAGTGCCTTCCCTGGATTTCTTTTTCTATTTACAAATTATTTTCTACTGAGTTTGCCCCATGGGTACTCAACTCTTTGACTATGCTTCCCTCAACTCAATTTTTCTTTTTTGAGACCGAGTCTCACTCTGTCACCCCGGGTAGAATGCAGTGGGGCCATCATAGCTCACTGCAACCTCTTACTCTTGGGCTCAAGTGATCCTCCTGCCTCAGCCTCCTGAGTAGCTGGGACTACAGGTGCTTGCTACCATGTCTGGTTAATTTTTCTATTTTTAGTAGAGACAGGATCTTGCTCTTGCTCTTTCTCAGGCTGGTCTTAAACTCCTGACCTCAAGCAGTCCTCTTGTCTCAGCCTCCCAGAGTGCTAGGATTATAGGTGTGAGCCACTGCACCTGGCCACATTTTTTTTTTTTTTTTACCATAGTCTAAGTTTCCGAATCTGCTCTAGTGCAAAGAACGACAGTCCATTAGAGTGAAAATCTCTAATAGATTTTTCCCAGGAGGGAAATGAGCAGAACTAATTGCACTTATACTTCAAATGCAAGCATACATATCCACCACACACTCTTGTGCACACACACTCCCTATGTGTCAGTTATTAGTGCTGTTCACTTCTCCTTCCAGGCACATGGCAGGATTGTATTTGTTGCACTTCTTTCCCCCTGTAACTTGCTTTGGCCAGCGAGATGAGAGCACAAGTGATGTGTATCACTTCCAGGTCAAAGCTTTAAGAGTCAGTGCTTGGTTTGTCCCATTGATCCTTATTTCCTGACTTCAGGGTTAAGGAGACACATGCCCAGTTGCAGCAGCCTGAGTCTCTGAGTGAATATGGGGAACAGAGCTCCTACTGACCCTCAGTGGACATTTTTTTTTTTTTGAGACAGAGTTCGCTTTGTTGCCCAGGCTAGAGTGAGGCCACCTCCAGGCCGCTTCTGTGCCGGGGGCGTCCGGGGCAGCCCCGCCAAGCGAGGCTCTCAGCAAACTTTATTTTGAAACCTCTGCTCCCTCGCGAGGGCCCAGCGGCCTCCAGCGAGGGGTGTGCGGGGAAATTTCGGTGAAACTTTCACAAGCCGGTGGTGGTAGGGCAGAGGGCAACTTTCTTAGAAATCTCACCTTGACCACCCCAGTGAGTTCGTCGTCCAGACCCCTAAGCACCCCATCTGGCCTTAGGCCGCCTCCCTCAGAGAGTGGGTGCTGGGCAGGACTTCGTTTGAGCAAGCCCCTTCTCTTCCCCCATTTCCTCTTCCCAGAAGCAGGAAGAGGTAACACGTGAAAGTTGTCCCTGAGCACTGAGTGATGCGCTTCCCCTTTCTATCTCTGTTTCAGGCAGCGCTGACCCTGGAGGAGAAATACCAGGAGAAACTCCTCACCTGCCCTGCCCCAGCCGCACATCCACCTGCTCACCTCATGCCTGGGTTCAGGGTGGGTGAGGGTGAAGAACCCACCCAGCCAAGATGATCCTTTCTCTGGGGGCTGCTGCCGGTTTCCTCCCCCAGATCCTGGGCCCCAGCAGGTGGGAAAGTGGCCCCCAACGGAGCCCTATCAGACTGCTGCAGAGGAGGTGAAGAGGGGTGGAGAAGAGGCACCCATCTGGGAGACTGAAGCTACTTCATTCTTCATCCCTGTAGACTCTTGACTGTTTTAGGAGAGAAGGACCTGTTGGTGGCCTTTGCCGGCAGCAGGAAATTGGACTGTGGTTCTACCCCAGCACCTATGCGCCCACCTCTGGCAGCATCATGAGCCAGTTTCAGGTGCCCCTGGCGGTCCAGCCAGACCTGCCTGGCCTTTATGACTTTCCTCAGGGCCAGGTGATGGTAGGGGGCTTCGCAGGGCCTGGGCTTCCCATGGCCGGGAGTGACCCCCAGCTCCGAGGGGGCGGAGATGGGCGGAAGAAACGGAAGCGGTGTGGTACTTGTGAGCCTTGCCGGCGGCTGGAAAACTGCGGGGCTTGCACTAGCTGTACCAACCGTCGCACACACCAGATCTGCAAACTGCGCAAGTGTGAGGTGCTGAAGAAAAAAGTGGGGCTTCTCAAGGAGGTAAGCTGGCCCTTGCTAGGCTACCCTCTGCCTGCCTTGAGGGCGCTGTAATCACTGGAGTCTTGTTAAAGGCTTGTCGGGTTAAGCCCATTCTCCTGTTTTTGATCCTTTTGGTACAGTTTTGAATAGAAGTGTAACTGACATTGGAAGCTGGTGTGGGTTCCTTTGCAGGGCTATCCACTGTATAAGAGTAACTGGGTCGCAGACGCCTCTAGCTAGCACTCCCATCTCTGAAGTTTGCGTTTGACGTCTTGCTTTATCTCTAGAAGTTTCTCGTCCTGCTGCTTGAAGCCTCAGATGTTGTATTTCAAGGTCACAGTATGCTTGGGCGACTTGGGCAGTGATGGTGTCAGATAAGGGATGGAGGCTAATGGATTTGGAGACGGCTCTAGAGTGACAGGGTGCTGGAGTGGGACATTTCCCTAATTCTTTTCTTGGGTACCATCGTTTTTCTTAGATGTCAAGGAAACCAGTTGAAACTGGGAATTTAGTGAGAAACCCCTGATTTGGGTTCCCTAATGTACTGAGTACTTCTTGAAGTCAAAGACTTTTTATCTGTGTTCTAAGGACCTGGCACATTTCCTTGGCAGGTAGTAGGCGCTCAGATACTAATTGCACCAAGGAATGATGTACTTTTGAGATGCTGTCAACCTCAGGGAGGAGTACTCCCTTTATTCGGCGGGTGTCAGGGTAGAAGAAGGAAGGAGTTGGGATGAGACCAACTCGATTGGGGGTGGGAGGGAAAAGAAGGGACAGTGAACCCTGCATTGGCCAACTTTCCCTTCCATTCTGCTGGCGGACTGCGGACTTGAGGTTGGTGGCAGCCGCGATAGCGGAGAGTTGGCAGAAGTAGGGACTAGCGAAGTTGAGCAGCTTGGGAGTAGCGGTGTAGCGGCTGAGGTTGCTCCAGGCAGCAGAATTGGCGCTGGACAGAGACGGAGGCCTGCGCTGTTTGTAGGGCTCCCCCAGCTCTGCCACGCATTTGTCCAAGGGCACAGACAACTCGGGCCCCCTCTCTGTGCCTGTCTTCCCCTTGGGAGTTGTACTTGATGGCTTTTGAAGCCCCTTCTAGCTGGGCTGGGAACTGCTGTGCTTCCGAGGGCTGGGGCACCTGTGGCGGCAATGGTCTGGCGGCTTGCGCTCAGGGTTTCCCTGACCGCTGAGTGCAGAGCTGTGTCGCGGGCTGGTGGGCCTGTGGTCCAGTGGCTAGGAAGAAAGATCCAGGTGTTGGGGGCAGGGAAGTGGGGTTGCTGGATGTTCCTGTGCCTTCTCACCTTCTCTCGTCCACTCCCTGTGGAAGCCATACGTCATGATGCGGGAGTGCAGACTGGGAGCCCTGTTTTCCTTGTCTCTGATTAAAGCAGACATCTGGATCACATCTGCAGCTCCCCATCCCAGCCCCGGAGGCGGTGTCCAGCCTATTTATGTTGCTGGTGTTGGGGGGGAGTTAGCATTTTGCTGGTCCTGTGCCCTGTGGGTCACTATTGAAAGGAGGCAGGACCAGGGGTAGGCTTTACTTCTGGGCATGAGATCTGGTGTGTTGGTGTAAGGAGGACCTGCCTAGTCTACTTCATAAAGCTTGATTCCTTTGCTTCCTTCTTTCTAGTGTTCCTTTTTTCCCCCCACCCCCTTTGTCTCAGTTCCTCTTGTAATCAAAACCGAGGGGTAAGGACTTTGAGTTTTCTGGTCTAGATGTTCTCGGAACCAGTGGTCCTTGTGTACAGTGTTTAAGTGCCTCTGTTGGCAACAGCAGGGCATACCTGTGTGAAAGGGGCTGGGAGTGAGGCCAGGGCCCTGTCATACTTGTGTGTAAGCTGCCGAGTGGTCTTGGTTAAGATACTGTGGGTCTGGGTTGGCTGATGCTTAGAGACAATCCTGTTGAGAGATGTCTGCATCCCTGTGGACCTTGCCATGGCCAGCTGCCCCATTTAGGCCCCTTGGGTCAGGTAAGATGTGGCTGGATGTCCTGTCTGGGTGCACACGCTGATCTGTACTGTGGAGTAGTGCTGGCCCACAGTGGAGTTCTGTTTTTGGAGAAAAAGTGAAAAGGAGACAATGGGGTGAGTTTTTTCATAAAGTTAGCTTCTTTGACTTAAAGAGCAGTACTTTTTCCATAGGATAGGGCCTTTCTACTTCTGGATGTTTAAAACGTGTTTTCTTTTATGACATGAACACGTTGACAGAAAGTAGATTTTTTTTTTTTTTTTTTTTTTGAGACAGAGTCTCACTCTGTTGCCCAGGCTAGAGTGAGTGCCATGGCATCAGCCTAGCTCACAGCAACCTCAAACTCCTGGCTGAAGCAATCCTATTGCCTCAGCCTCCCAAGTCACTGGGACTACAGGCATGTGCCACCATACCTGGCTAATTTTTTCTATATATTTTTAGTTGGCCAATTAATTTCTTTCTATTTTATAGTAGAGACGGTGTCTTGCTCTTGCTCAGGCTGGTTTTGAACTCCTGACCTTGAGCAGTTGGGGAGGGGGCCTCAGCCTCCCAGAGTGCTAGGATTACAGGCATGAGCCACCACTCCCGGCCTTTTTTTTTTCCTTTTTGGCACAGTGACTCATGCCTGTAATCCTAGCCCTTTGGGAGGCCAAGGCAGGAGGATAACTAGAGACCCAGAAGTTCAAGACCAGCTTGGGCAACATAGTAAGACCCTGTCTCTACCAAAAAATAGAAAAAATTAGCCAGGCATGGTGGCACATGCCTATAGTCCCAGCTACTTGGGAAGCTGAGGCAGGAGGATTGCTTGAGCCCAAGAGTTGGAGGCTGCTGTGAGCTATGATTGTGCCACTGCACTTGCCCAGGTGACAGTGCAAGAAAAAAAAACAGTCTTGGTAAAATACAAAATGTGAACTAGTGTCTGTCTCCATAATTTTTTTTTTTTCGTCCATGAAGGTTGAAAGCCTGGGGGCCACTGTCCAGGCTACACTCCAATTAATGAGCATATTTCTGGCATAGTCACAAAGCTGAGACATGCTTTGAGAGACTACCTAAGCAGATGTGGTCCGAGGACAGGCGTAGTATTTAGCAGCTGTTGGGGACTGCCAGGCTTAACCATTAGATCTTAGCAGCCATGTAGTAGAGGAAACATGTCCCAGGATTGTGGAAGTTGTTTTGGCCCTGACTCTTCCGGTAGGGCAGGTTGCTGCATCCTAGGAGCCTCTTGGAAGTAAGACCATGTGCTTGCATCTCTGCTCCCTGATGTTTCCTCTTTGTGAGAGTGGTGCTGCTGCTCTGAGCACTCTTTCCTTGCTTCCATCCTTTCTTCATCTCTCCTAGCCGCCTTTGTTTTATTTTTAATTATTTTTTTAGTTTTTGGTTTTTTTAGGCAGAGTCTCACTCTGTTGCCCCAGCTAGAGTGCCATGGTGTCAACCTAGTTCACAGCAACCTCAAACTCCTGGACTCAAGCGATCCTCCTGCCTCAGCCTCCCCAGTAGCTGGGACTACAGGCATGTACCACCATGCCCGGGTAACTTTTTTTTTTTTTTTTTTTTCATGGTAGAGACGGGTCTGGTTTCTCACATGCTCTCACTCAGGCTGGTCTTGAACCCTGAGCTCAAATGATCCACCCGCTTTGGCCTTCCAGAATGCTAGGATTACAGGCATGAGCCACCACGCCCGGCCTCTCCCACTGTCTTTGGAGCTTCGTTTGAGCTCTCTGCTGACTGCTGCTTTGTAAGGGAGGGAAGATTATCTTGGGCTTTTCGACTTTCCCTACTCCTCACTCTTTCCCAGTGGGCTTGGGGCCATGTGCAGGGAATCCACCTACTCAGAGAAAAGTAGTGTTTTAAGATTAAAGACAGGTCTCCATCAGGGCTGGTGACTACTTCTCTGGGTCCTCATGTGAGGTTGGGGCAGGTTGGCAGTGTAACACATGTGAAGGGGTTCCCTCCTGTACTGTGGTCTTCCTTCCCAGTTCCAGGAAGGATTTAGATCCTAGGCTGATGTCAAAGCTGTTGGATTTCACATTCTTATTAGCTGAGTGGTGGCTTGGTAGTGCAATGAAGATGGCTGATTAGAAAAGTAGGATTTGGTGAGTGTGGAGGCGCACAGTAGGGCTCAGAACCGAAACCGAGTGCTGTGTCTTTACTATCTTGGGAACTGGGGTGCACAATCTCTTCAGCTTTTGTTTTCAGTTGTAAGATGGGGTAACCCTTCTTTGTAGGGTTGTTGTGGGGATTAAATGAGATAAAATATACATAATATCTGGCACATAGTAGGTAATCAATGCGTGGTGTCAAAACATTTCTGGAATGTTTAGAAAAGAATTGATCTTTATGCATGACAGCTGTGCATTAGTCAGTCTCTGTGTTGTAAAGATGCAATACAAATTAAAACATTTATTTCAAGACATCCCCTGGCTTGCTTGTGGAAGAACCATGGGACAGAACCACAGGGCCAGGCGGAGGGGGAGGAGTTTGCCACCTCTTTGCAGGAAGGAGAAGGAGGCTGGGCTGTGAGGAGCGAGGAGCCACCATGGCTCTGGGCCTGACTGAAAAGTTGCCTATGGGTGAGGGAAGTAAATAAATGGTAGAGGAGGAGAAGGACCCTTTATGAAGAAAAACTTGTGTAGAAAAATGTACACCTAAGGTTGGAAGCATGGCTGAGAATGTTATGGGTGAAAAATGAGAGAAATGAAAAGCTATACTGTGTGAGTACACTTTCTAGCTCTGGGCCAAGTGGTGGAAACGGATTTCTTTTTTTTTTTTTTTAGCCCAGGCATTACAAGGACAATTTTTTTTTTTAGTATTTTTTTTTTTTTGAGACAGAGTCCGCTTTGTTGCCCAGGCTAGAGTGAGTGCCGTGGCGTCAGCTAGCTCACAGCAACCTCAAACTCCTGGCTCAAGTAATCCTCCTGCCTCAGCCTCCCAAGTAGCTGGGACTACAGGCATTCGCCACCATGACCGGCTAATTTTTTGTATATATTAGTTGGCCAATTAATTTCTTTCTATTTATAGTAGAGACGGGGTCTCGCGCTTGCTCAGCTGTTTTGAAC